TAGACAAAGGTCTACGTGTACATATACATAGTATGTAAATTCATGCAGAATCGTACGGGCGTTTAAGATCCAGCTAGAGGCATTGATTTTTAGACTTTGTGTTCTACCACTTATACGGTTCTACAACATATTGAACATTTTATCGTTATTTTTGTAATTATGATTTGAACGATGGAAAAATTATGAATGAAAAATATTGATCCTATTGAATATAATTTATTGCGAAAATGTTTCTATTTGTTTAAGGATAACCGTGTCGAGGTTTCAAAAGTACTTCAGTTTTTTTTTTTTTTTTTTTAATTGAACCAATATTCTACCTAACAATGTTTATATATCCCGTCGTGTAATCGGTCTGTAACATGTTTTCGCCGAAGGTAAATTATGCCCTTCTGCTTGGGAAACTTTTGGCTTTTTCTACGACGAGTGACGTGTAGGGCTGGATAAAAAACAGCACACATACGGGCTTAGAAATATTTCGTGTTCGCTTTCGTCGTCGCACATGCATAAAGGAAGACTGAGACTCTGCACGACGAGGGTCGTATGGTTGGTGTCCTTGAAGGGAGAGACTTGTCAAGTGAGAGACCGAGGGTACCAAGTTATTATGAATCACGAAAAATTCACTGGAACGCTAACTTTTCCGTTTGTAGCCCTTTAAAGGGTTCGTTACGACTCTGACGACCCATGTCTTTCAATCGCTTCGCTACTAAGCGCCTATTTCGCTAGAGAAAGTAGATGTAATTATATTAGAATGCATTGAATGTATATGAATAATTAACCCGGGAGGTGATAGCGTATTCTTTCATTTTCTATTTATTTCTTTCAATTTATCGATACTATTATATTTTTACCTTTCTATTTCTGTAAATGTTCGTTAATGTTTTTTTTCGTATAGTATGTGGAAATAGATGACGTAAATTAACACGCTTATGTCTACATAAAATTTGATATGTCTGTAACGGTCGGTCGAAAAGACCGTAGCGCGCGCATTTACGTTAGTGTTTCATCATCTCCGCCATTATTATACCTATATTAATAAATAAAAAATAAAATTATTATAATTTTCTTAGTACTTTGTTACATAGCAATAATTTTAAGAAAAATAAAAAAAAAAGATAAAATTAAAATAAAGATACCTCGTATAAATATACAATTATTTCCAGTAATTATTACGTTCCTTCGTTTTTAATTGATTAATATAAAAGCGTTATCAGAACGTTTTCTTATTAATTATTATTACTTATAGTAATTATAATCATATGTATATGTATTCTAGTTGTATAACACGTATATGTGCGAAAATATATTTCGGTGAAAATGACCAGAACATATTCCCAGGTTAATATGAAACTACATACAATGTATATTCAAAAGTACATACATACATTGAAAAAAAATACTGATATTTTGATAAACATTGGTTCGAATAGTTATCGAACGAATATTTATTCACTGTAAATGTTTACTTGACACTATTCAAAGAAATGTAGATTAAAGTTTAGCACTTTTTTTCGACGTAACACACATATGTATCCTGATTTTTATCGTATTTGTTTAACGCCACGTAAAACTCTGTTTTTATCTGCTTGCAGACAAAGCTGCGGTGCCAACGGCATCTTTTCGCGTCGTCTGGATTTCAGCGCATTCAACAGTCTGCCTCGCACCAAGCTTAACTCCTATCATATCAAGGTAAGTAATTAATGCTTTATACATGTCTATACATACACACACACACACACTTTTTGATACGTTGAGAATTTCGCTTACGGAGCGTTTGAATTACGACGCGTCGCTTTGCAAGTGGAATGGACTGGATCTTCAGGAAGTTGATCAATCGTTCACGATTACAACATTCGCAAAACGTGTCACGCAGCATTATACCGACAGAGCAGGAATCTTTTTAATTGCTTTGTAAGCGCGAAAAAAGCAAATCATTACTATTTCTCATTATGCAACGATGAAACGTAATAATTTAGCATATATATATATATAATTAAACATGGATTTAACGTGGAGTGCACTATTAATATTTTTAATTTCATCAGTCCACATATATGTTTTAAATAAGGTATAAAAAGCTGAATTAGACTAGTATCGACGGTCAGATTTAATCTCGCCGTAGGAATTCGTGAAATTTATTCCAACTGGGAGAGGAGGCTACCCTTTCCAAGCGTAAATCAGGCGTAAGAGCTACGCCCCTGGCGAATCCTTTCGCATCCCGTTCTGTAACACTGTCGTCCTACCCTAAATACGCAGAGAAATCAATACCCGAGCAGTCCGAGTAGCGCGCAAGTACAGACGTACTTACGTACTTGCGTATGTGTACGTTTGTATATGCCGGCGTTAAAGAATACTTTTACTCTCTTATGCTTTTCCCTTGACCTGCTACTCGCCGTGCAAAATCCTCGCGCGCGAACGTAAATTAACATCAACCCTGGTTAACGACTTGTCCACCTGTATCACAGGTAACACAAGTAATCCGGGAAAAGGTAAACAACATCGTTAATCCAATGGACGCGATCTCTGTTTATGCAAACGTTTATTTAATTTATTTAGCGCTGATCTTACTCAACTGATTTTCCTTATTTCTTTTTATTACAAAGATACAATGAGATTGAAAGAGAGTGAATCGTTATCTTGGAATTACACGGGGCGTAATTCTGTTAAAAGAACGTAATGCACAATTTGCTTGCGAATTTTATATCTAAAAAAGTATAGAACATTTTTTTTGGACATTTGAAATATAAGTGTAGCTATTTTCATATTTGTTTGATATTTTCGTGTGTTATTTTCATTATTATTCAATTATTTAATTATTATCAATTGAAATATTAAATGCTGATTCAGACGTAACTTTTGTTATCGATGAAAACCAACATTATTGTGAAATATTTAATAAATTATATAAATTAATTTTATAGAGAATTTTACGTGCAGTTTGCGTTAATTAATAAAAGAGATATCAGTTTGTAGCTTCTAATATTGACACGTTAGTACGAAAAAACAAGCTTTCGATATATTTTCCGTCGATAAAATATTGTGTCCGCCTTCGATCTATTATGTAACAGAAAGCTGTCTTGAGGGAGAGAAGGCTCTATAAGTGATTCACGTTTTAACCTCCGTTCCGTAATGCCTGACAAAATTTGACCTAGGACCTGGCCTCGACCTCCAAATTGCCTGTCATTTTGATGCTTGTTTGCGGGAACCGAGAAAGAAAGGATAACTGGTAAATCAACTGTTCGGCTCTCCCCTCTGAACTAGGATACGCGTTTTTGCCAAGTTTCAAATAACTTGTCTCGCGATAGAGCTCCATCCGGAGTCTCTACTCTGTAGTCTTGTTTAGAAAATCTCCCAGCACACGATCCTGACTGACAATTAAAGCAGTTAATGACGCTGCTAATTAGCGCCTGCGGATAACGCTCTTGGTTCTAAATTCGACGACGTTACATTCGCTGCACTATATTATTCATAACTATCGCTGTTATTATTGTCAGGAAATATTCGAGCGATTATTCATTCAATTTTTTTTATGCGCGGGATCATTCGTCGCGGTCATAAAATCGGTCGTAACTGTGATCGTGGAACAACTTTGCTCATACTCGATTTGATACATGTCACTGTTATCGTCGATATAATATATAAATATGCAATTGAATTATTGAATTAATATTTCAATGAAATGGCTTTTTAACGCGCTATGTACATTCCTGTATCCTTCGCACTTTACGCCGCGACATTAGAATGCACGAGTAAATGTAAGGCGTATAATATTTTTCCATCGCGCACTCTTTTATCGGTTGAAGTTGTTGCGCAATAAGGCGGCTCTCCGTGGCCGTTCTCGCGGCGTGTTTCGTCGACGAATTGGCGGCGGCTGCTGGTTCCAGTTTTTCAATAATACCGGTTCTCTCAGCTTCGCCGGCCGGCCTAACGAGAGAGCCGTTAGGTAACTCGAGGGAGATCGATCTCGTGTGAGCGTGTGTGTGTGTGTGTGTGTGTGTGTGTGTGCACGTATTGCCGTGCAGCGGCAGAGGAGGGTGTACGGAAGAGGGAACAGGGGGGAGCCTGGAGGAACCAGGGCACCATTGTAAACCGCTGGAAGCTCTTCGAACACCCTCCGAGTCCTCCCATGGCAACCGCGTCCCCGTAACAATTGCCCTGGCTCTCTCTCTCTCTCTCTCGCGTAACCCTTTCCGCGTATCGAGGGTGGGTTTTTACCCCTTTCTGCGTTGCGCGTTTCTACGATGCGAATTGCAAAACGCAAGGTTTGCCTTTTGTACGCTAAATACCGATGCGCAGCAGCGACGTTCCTCGGAGCCGCTTAAGACCCGAGGATTGCCACTGAATTGGAAGTCATGGCGATAACTTCTCCGTTAAGACCCTCCGTTAAGACGCCGTTGAAGCGAGGAGGGGGGGGGGGAAAGAATGTTCTCCACGCTTCGTTTCGATGAATTTCTTTCGCGATTCTTGTCGTTCGCTGTATGCAGTCGCGCTCTGGTTGTTTTCGCTTTGGGTACTCGCGTGCTGTAAGCTTCATTCTAGCTTCTTTCCGCAAATAATGAATAATAAAGATACACTAAAAAAAAAAAAAATGATGTGGCAACAGTATTATTTTAATTAAAAATAATCATATTGATTTTATATATATATATATATATATAATAACATTATATATATTAATGGAACAAAATAAAATTGTATTAAAACAAGAACACGATATAACTATCATTTTTTTTTCGTGTGCAGAACGAAGCTCACATGCTGTGAGCGTTCAAATCGAATACAACTTGGCAATGGTAATATACGTTTACGGAGAATATCGAAATTTGCGAAAATCCAAGAAAACTTATTTAGGAAATAAATAGAGCGGAGACGCGTTCATGCGCGCAAATCGCGACAGACGTTACAAATTTCATGTGAACGACCTCGCGGCCTGTGTCTAGCGATAAATCGGACAGGAGGAGTAGTGGAAATAGGAAAGTGGCGTGCTACGATGCAGTAAGCTCGACACACGTGGCTTATATAGATGCTAAAACTAGGAGTGGCTCGCTCCGTCGTTGTGCTTGTGAAGTTAGCGCGACATTCTATTAATATAAACAAAACAAAAAAACAAACACGTACCGACAATTCCAGTAATGCTTTTCACAGTTCCTCAGTTCCTTATTAAAGTAAGAAAAAGCATTTTTAATATTAAAAAGATGAAAATTGAAAATACAGCCTGCCAACTCTGCGAATCTAGCACGATACTTTCCCTTTAAAGTTTAAGAAAAAGAAAAAATATTTCCACTCTATAGTGTTTCCGTTAGTATTGCTTCAGTTCTACCAATGTAATTCGAAAATAAATTCCAACAATAAACTAACGTTAATAGACTTTAAATATAGGAGACATCACGGTATTTGGAAGAAAGTCATGATTAGCTGATAATTTGTCGCGATTTCCAGCGACATTTTTCGTTAGTTCTAGCAGAATTCTGTTCTACAATAAATTTTTAAATAGAGTTACGATTGCTATTTTTTTCAACGGATCAACGTGCTTCGCGAGCATTCGTTTACACTCGTCCCGTCCACGTTTTTATTCGTGTATGCAAAAAAAGCGGTCAACGTTCGTAAGGTATGTTTCTAATAACGACATGATGTCTCACGTGATTCGAAATCTGCCGCTAACAACGATGTTTACGTTACCGCGCACTGTATTTCGTTTCAAACCGTGTGAATTTTTCCCGATTGTAAAATGTACCAATTAAAGTCCTTCCTTTCCACGAAATAAACGACTCTGGATTGGTTGAATTTCTTACGCCTTACGTATTGCGCGTTACGCAAGAGCCTGTGCTCCCCGCTTTAACAATGCGTATCATAAATCCGCGTCCCATTATCCGTTTTGATTTTCCAGGCAATTAAAACGTTTACTGCCTTGCACACCGTAAACGTTGCGGAAACGTTACGCACCCGGCATGCGCGTGTCGTTTATTTTTACGTAACTCCCGCAGCTTCGCGAATTTCTCTCACCGATGTGCACGAGACGGTTGAACGACCCGAATATTATCGTTTCGTCGAACACTCGATACGCTAAGCGGTTACATCGGCGCGATAGTTTATTATTGCAGTCCGTCGCACGAACCGCGGGCTCTTTATCTCGCGAGTCGGTAAATATTGTTTCTTGGCCGCAGTGACGAAGATAAATGCATCGAATGTCAAGCGGCGCCAGCTTGCAGAAAATACTGAGCCGGCAAAATGTCAAGCGCACAATACTCCGTTTCTTTCACCCACTGTTCTTGCATAATTAAAGTTGCACAAGGTGAACAATATATAAATGATCTGCAATATTTCCAGATAAAAAAAAATTAACAACAACAAACGAGAATAATTAATTAAAGCGAATGACTTATTGTACGCTGTATAGAAAAGCATTTATTTCAAAGAGATTACGGCGAAGTTCATTTAAATGAGAGGGGTGAAAGGGGGTAGAGTATATTGTCTCTCTTCTTTGAAAATGAGTTTTGAGAGAAGTGCCTCACTTGAAGTGCCTCACCGAAAAACCGACGCTCACGCCGAGCGTTATATTTCGCCGTTGAACGTACTACATCGCTCGCATTATCTCAGCCTAGCTCGACTCTGATAAGAGATTGTTCCGTTGGCAAATATTCGCGAACTACGCTTTTTCCGACAAGGCCACGCCGTACGAGATATAATCT